CTACACATTTACTTCGTTACTGAAATGTAACTTATAGACCATGCAGTACTTTTTTTCTTTACTATAACTGATTGTGCTTACTTCTAGAATACATCTACATTACTGTTTTATACAGCCTTCTTCGCTGTTAGACATTTTTCCATTAGTATAAAGCTTACGTCACATATTTAAAATATATATATATATATATATATATATATATATACATACACATATATATACGTACACACACACACACACATATATATATATATATATATATATATATGTGTGTGTGTGTGTGTGCACGTGTATATATATATGTGCATGTGTATATATATGCACATACATGTAACTACACACACATACATATAGTTTTGGTGCAGGAGCCTTATACGTAATGCGTAGCCCGCTTCTCTGATCGATACACATAAAAAATCGATTCACAAGTAAATCTATCATCCGAACCAAGTGTTATAATACGTAAAATAATCAATAGTCATCAGGTTATACCTTTGTTTTAAAATGCGCCGTTTAGTTTACGGATATCACACTAACTTGTCATATAAACTAGACGGTTTGGTGTGTGATTATAATTTGTTGGTAAACCTCAACCTTTCACATCAATGTGTTGATCTGTGGAACATTAGCATCCAGTACTTGGCTTATTCTACTACTTTTGTTTGATCCTTCCTGCTTGTTTCCATACATATTCCTAAATCAACACATTCCCCAGCCTTAATTTAAATATATTCATTTGGATCGAACTAGTGAGTCCCACGAGAGTTGTCTCTCTGAGAGTAGATAGTAATTGTTTTAATGCTGATTGCATTGATACAGCGCCAGTAAAGATACACTGAAAAAATTATTGATCACTATACACTCGGTTTTCAAACGCGATAGCTTACTTCAAGTAATTTAAAAAGAAAACAAATTAGTAATTATGGAGTGTTTCTAACTTTTCCCAATTGAAATTCCCCTTATACTAGATGTTGGCCTTAGTTACTATTTAATATTTTCTTTTTATATAGAAATCCACGTCTGTAAACATACCCAACCGACGTTGTAAAAACGCTATCAATTAGATCTACAATTATGAATTCTATATTAACAAGGACTTTCGTTTAAGTTTTAATGTTATCTCTACACTGTGGTCGACTTTAAAACGTCCTTTTCTATCCTATCCCTGATAAAAGATACCCTTTTTTCGATGCTCCCCAGTGCACACTTAAACCAGATAAACATGTATTTCGGATGGATACAAAATGTAAACATTGCAGACAGCGATGTATTGCATGAAACAGCTGGCGTTTACCTATACAAGCCCGGTCCTTGTTTTAGGTTTGGCGATCTATTATTTTGTAGAATGTTTTTACCCTAGTAAAAACATTACTAATTGTGCCATTACATGTACTGATATTTTTAAAATATATTTTATTGTATTCTTTCCTAAAGAATAATAATAGACACACAATTTTAAATGACGCTGCGGCCAATCCATGCTTTTGAAATACCACAAACATGCACTTTATTTGAAGCATAAAACACTTAGTAGAAAATAATGATTCCATTCCATCGACACTCCTGTGGGAACACGTTTACTGTGCGCGTGAGATAGTCGATGTGACACGGTTGCTAGGTTGTTTGGACAACCATAACCACCTGTATCCAGGTCATCAGCATGATTAAACACAGTGTGCTTTCACTATTGGCGTTGGCATTTAAAAAATAACTATAGTACAAGATGTGAACTCCGCATAGCGATCCATGTTTTAAATCTGCTGTAGAGGACAAACAGCCCCATGCACACGCTTTCACAGCACAAAATTATTTCAACACGGCTGGAGTAACCTGTCTGATCGGAACAATGTTAGTGCCCACCCCCATCCCCCTCCTTGTTTCTATCTGCCGCCCTCGCGTCTGTGAAAACTTAAAGTGTGATCAATAAAGGACTTAGATCTCTAGCGTCGCTTAACCTGGCCTAATGATGAGGGCAATATTGATACTCTTCTCATAGGCCCCCACACATCGCAGATAAGTCAGCGTCACGTCAACTATAATTCTAATGGATGGCATTGTCACTCATGCTATTTGACGTCATCGCAGTGTGGCATTTCAAATAGCAATAAGCATAAGCTCCCCTTAATATATAAAAAAAAAATATTCAAAATCCTAGCTAGGGTACTGCTCAGTATTGTTCATGCCCAAAGTGTGATACCTACATCACCGTCCTAGTCTGATATGACGCCGTGCCGGTCAATCGATATGTGCTTCCTGTGTATAGGGTGAAACCTCTTTTGTTCCATCGGTCCCAGAACTCTTCTCCGTGCTAATATCTCTGATAATCGGATTATATATATGTTTGATGTCATCTGAGCGTAGTTTGACTGTCCGCTTGTATCATACGCTCTTGACTTCTATGGGATTTCTACGCTATCACTGTAAATATTGACTCATCTACAGATAGTGGTAGGTTTACTAGTCAATAGCACGAGGCTCGAGGTGACGTAATATTGACTGGCATCTGTATTAACAACGCTCTTACAAATGATTTTTTTATACCTTACACCGCTGACATATTACTGCCTCTGTTCGTCTATTTACCTTTTCAGTGTGTCTAAATATCTGTCTTGTCTGTCATTCTATTTGTCTAATATCCCTTATCTATCTAATCTAATCACTGTATTTTAGTGTTGGCATCAGCATGAGCTAAGTATAACGTTTTAGGCCGAAGGACGTGACGCCAAAGAGAAGGTCAGTAGAAGTAAAGAAGCTGGCATCTGACCAGATGGATAATTTGAGATTTCCAACATGCGCTGTAATGAAATTGGTCGGTGGTCGTCTTATCTACGAACGCAATATTTTAAGCGTTAGGTTTACTAGAACATTAACATATCTAACGTTTCTTTTAAGCTCAAAAAAGCTTGACAGTGCAAATAAAAACAACAACCTAATATCAAATTTTAAATGATAAACTGAGAATTATTTTCGTTTTCCGAACGGCTCATAGTTTTAACGAGATGTTAAAGTATATTTAATGTCATAGCTGAGCGTGAATCACAACTAAAGATCTTGTTACAGCACAATGACTAGCTCAGTTAACACTTCCACATATTGGATGTACAAGAACCACATGATGAACAATTCCAACTATTGCAATAGCTCGTGCATTACTATGAATTTGGGTTCAGCACAGTTGAAGGTTACATAGAACTGTTTGTAAATTCTATTCATATAAAATAAGGCGCACACAGTTTTAGAAGTTGGATGAAATACAACACAAACCAATGTCAATTGTTGTGGTGAACAGATTTGAACCGTCAGAAACATCACGAACAGCTGTCTGGCACATGTAAACTCATGTTACTTGGTCCAGTTTTTTCCTCCATCTATCCGAATGTAGATGCGACCCTAACTCCTTGTTCACATTCTATAATAACTTTCGTCTTATAGTAAGTCCTGCATATCACATTATAGTTTAACATTGCATAAGTGAACGTTTCTTTTGATTTACCTAGCATGTAATACGCATACTTTTTACATTTTTTTTTACTCAAGTGCTAAATGCCACTTGACATTTAATAATTTCCTGCATATGGTTGTGCTGCATAAGTTGTAGGTCGGGAATTTTCATCACGGGTTTGGTACCTCTATGTTTTTTGTCAGCCTTTGTCTTAACACGTATAAAATAAACTAGTAAGCACGCGATTTAACTTTCAAATCGTCGGGCACCATTTTTTAGAATTAGTCTGGACTGTTCAAGATGTTGAAATGACACGTTACACTATCCTGTAAATACCTGTTTAACATTATTAGTAGATAAGTTCTGACCCTTCTCCTCCCCCCCCCTCCCAACTGGTATGGGGATCTAGATTGATGACTAACATACTTAAACTTCATATAGTTTACCATATTACTTCAGCCCTACGTACTAAAACATTTGTGTCAAGATCTTGGGGAATTACCCTTCATACGTAATATTTATCCCAGCCCATTACCTGTGTATAACATGATTTTTACAGCGGTGTTGTATGAATATTATTATATTTTACTTCATTTTCCAAACTAATACAAAAGTTCCCAATTCTAGTTGTAATGGAAAGGGCCGAGATTCATGGACCATACGTATACCTTGGTCTTGCTGGTGATCATTTGCAATAAAGGGACGCTACTCATTTTGTTAATGTAATAAACCAAATTTATTTTGCTTCCCTTTATGTTCCATGGTTAATTATTTAAAACCATTGTAGTATTTAGGCTGGTGTAAATAAAAATCATAAATTAAAGGATGTCTCGTATTTTCTCAAGCGATAAATTATAAAAAAAATTAAGAGGGACAAATTAATATTTGGGAACTAAAATATATATTTTTAAAAAGTTACTTCCAAGCTTAATAATGGCTCCAACTGTATTTATTTTTATATGCCTCAAAAAAAAAAAGAAAAAAAAAAAAAAAAAAGAATGTATGATGTTAAACATACAAACTTTAATTTCGTACCCCTAAAAAGTTGTATTCATTGCTTGAACTTGTCAAAAAAATATATTTTAAAGGGTTGCATTTAAGTGTTAAATTTCAGCCATGTTTTTAGTGTTATGATACCTGTAAGACTAAAATAGGGTTATGGTTAGTTTTCAATGTTCGTTTGTATTGAGCTTTGTCTTGGTGTGAAACTGTAGGGCGTGAATTTGACACGCGTTTCCCTGCTCGGACACGCGTGTGAAAGAAGTCTCTTGACATTGATGAAAGTAGAGTCAAGAGTGGACAAGCTGTACATCGGATGCTGGTCATTCACTTTCTTCTTATTCTCTTTTAACTTTTATGATCGTGATGTTAAACCTTCGTTCAGACGGCATGCTCTAGCCTTCATCAGACAGGTGTGCTGAACTTGAACTTTCTCCTGTCTGCTTAGTGTTATAGTTTGTTTTTCTGTTTCTGTTTTCTATCTGAAACCATTGCAGAATTTACGTCATGGGTTTCACTTCTTTTTATATAGGCTAATATATTTTTTCTTTCCTCACAGAACTTTGATACAAGTGAATCAAAACTTCGAAGAGAATTTGAAGTCTTTGGACCCGTAAAAAAGGTAGGTCTGCCCCTTCTGGCACTAACAATATGGGTACATCTATGCTATGTTAAACAAGTATAATTTACAGGGATGTGACTTTTCCGAATTTAATTGGTGAATTCATTTTCGCCGAATTTTTCCGCCGATTTTCGAGTTTTGTCGATTTTGTACGAAGTTTTAAAAATTAGGGAAAAAAACGGAAACGACCTCTACGGAAAAGGCCGACGTGCGCTTTCCACAAGTTCGTATTTAAATCGAGACTTCAAGGAACTTTCAGTACATAGGTCTAACGGACACTCGAATATGCGCTATATGTCACTGCAGTGATGGTGCTAGATTAAGATGAAATTTAGATCTAGGTCAAGATTCAGAGTTTCGGCGGATTTACAATTTTTTCAGAACGCACATTTTTTTAGTCCAAATTTTCCGCTGATATTGTCAGTTAAATATTTATAAAAAAAACCACGGGAAAAAGTACTCTAAAATAATGCCGTTGTTCAAATGAAACTTACATCGCCCAAGCCTGGTAATCTAGCTATCGATGTAGCATAATTTATGTATCGGTATTTTAACACGCCCAAATCTAGTTTCTCTCTGATTCTATTTTATTTCGTTATCTCAAATTAATATTGAAATCCTTGCAAAAGGTGACTATGAGGACAAGACTAACCCGCCCCTGCTTGTAGCAACGGTGGCTCTTGTGACCTCACCATGACCCCGTGTACGTGTTTGGTGCTGCTTGTGGGGGGGGGGGGGGGATAAAAAATAACGTCACAATAGCTGTAAATTAACAGATTTAAAAAAAAACTGAACACAACGCGATTCCATAAATAACGTCCCACTCGAAAAGGGGGGGGGGGGGGGGTTCAGATTGTGTGACGTCATAATTTTATTTTTATGTATTTTAAAAAAGTAACGTTTAGAAACTGAATTTTAGTCGCTATTACGCGTTTTAGAAAACTGTTTTTAAAAAGTTTAATAGAAATTTATTTGTCGAGCTCAGTCAATATTTTAGAAAATAAATCGGTGATTAAAAAATGCTAATTCAATCTTGAGGAGGGGTGAGGGTAGCGGTTGTTGGCTGAGTTGTGTGTCATTTTTGGGGGTAGTCAGTCTTTTGTGACGGAGCATAGAGGGGAGGTAAAAACCGTCAAAAATTGTTTCTACCCCTGGTACATTTAAACGTTATAAGGCAGGACATCCTATACACATGTGTGTAAAAACACATGCTATGCTAATTAAAACATGCTACTCATATCTACAGTTCAGTGCCATGTAACAACGTGAGCATGTGTGCTGTCTTCTGTGGGTCTATTGTTTGCTCTCCTTTTGTCAAATTCTTACAGGCTTCATGTGTAGAACAATATTAGACACTATCACTCATCAAAAGTATAATGTTTGCCGAACTTGTACATCATGGCGTGTATTATAACTTTTTAGCACAAGAATTAAAGAAATAAGTAACTTAACGCGTTTTTCGGTGAAGGGATCGCTAGTAGATGGGCTAAGAGATTTTGTAATCATAGCTGTGTGCTATCTTATACATTATGCTGTTGGATGAAAACTCGACAGTAACATAATGACATTACGTTTATGCCATTATCAATTTAAAAATGTTGAAACTTAAGAAAAGATACTTGAATTAGTTTACTTAAACCTCCATCAATGATACATTCCACTCTGGGATTGGCTTGGATAACCGTGTCACTTATGCATGTCCTAATTGACGAACATAGTAAACCCTAAAAACGCTAATGTCATTTTGCCTTTGCTAACATCAACAGTTACAAACTTCCTTTCTAATTTATCTTTGATGTCTTGCGGAGAGGCATATGGTGCATCGTAAAGTAATAGATACTCTTGTCTCAAGTTAAAGATGTTCGTCAATAAAACTGCTTTTCAGAGCAAGCTGCTTGGTTTAATTACTTAGCCAATTTGAATTGCTCTTTTCTCTTGTATGTGTATATGCATGTATGTATGCATGTATTATAATATATACACCCGGAATATATGTATGTATGTATATGTGTATATATATATATATATATATATATATATATATATATATATATATATATATATATATATATATATATATATATATATATATTCGGTGTAGTGTATATACATACATCGATTTACATCCTGCACTGTCCGTTTCCCCACGTATTGCAATAGTAATATAATCAAGATGAAAATTCGAGATTCAAATCTATGTAATTAATACGTAATTGCTTTCTTTCTTATCTCCTTTAAGTTGACGTCAATTTGACACCCTTCCTCCCCCCCTCCCCATGAGCGATTTATTAGGCTAAAAATAACTTACCTTATCTCCCCACCAGAACACATTGCATTTGTTGTTAGTATACATCCTCACAATAATTTACAATATCCACGGAGCTGTGTTGTTATATCCATCAAACATCAACTTTATGTATTGCCGAAAACACCTCTCTTTGTACACGCTGAGATGCCAATGTTGAAATATTTTACACAAACAAAATACTCCATGATTCAGTCTGGAGACCTTAAATCATTCTGTTATTTATAATATTATCTAGCACATTATAGCACCTGCTGCCATTGATTATCTGTACTCTTTATCAATCAATATCTAATGCCAATAGCACGGTACAAGTTGACGCCACTAAAGCTGTGTTGCATCTAATGGGTGTTAGAAAATAAAAGGATGATCGAACTATTGGATTGATAATCTAAAGGTTTCGAGCTGTCACGCCTTGCCGTGAATCCCTCACTCGGCTGCTTTGAAATTGTTGACTACTCCAACCTGCTGTTAACGAATACCGCATGGCGCTGTCTAAACATTGGCCTCATGTAACTAGTGTGTTTGCCATTTTGTCTGTAAGCTCACCTAGCAATAGATCCCATCTATCGAATCACAATACGGCTAAGTGGTGAGAGAATCGAGAGCAAAGGCCTACAAGTCATAATTCCAGAACGCCTAAAAGTCAGAGTACGATAGCAATACTGTAACACTGTAAGGGCAACACGCTTTACTTTGCAACCAGTTGTGGAACGTCAGGTTCCTGTACGATACAACTTTCTTTTATAATTTGGTTATCATTAAAAATTGTCTAGGTTATCCCTGTTGAATTCCTATGTCGAAATGATTGCTGCACGTAGCTAAATGGAGATATGAGGTGTGTTTCTCTTCTCTCCCCCCCCCCCCCCTTAGTTTATCTTACTGCTGCGTGAAGTCTGGTTAATACTAGAAGAACACACTTTTATTTCAGATATTTTTGTTCTTTTTGAATTCACCTTCTCAAAAAACACGCAGAGATGTAGCGATTTATAAAATGAGATTTCCTAGTCGATATTGTGTGGAACCGCAAGAAGTAAGAAAGTGAACGCATTTTAAATGTATTTTTAATGGTAACTTCACCACTCCTCCCCCCTCCCTTGCTTGTGGCTTACACACCTTCTGTTTATTTTAAATCTACTGATGTCTTTGGGTGTTTTAATGAGTGCTTTTTTTAATGATAAAAGAAAGTATACGCTTTAAACTGTTAACAAAGATGTAATAAAATGTTACACATGACCATATAATATATACAGTTTCAAGTAAAATGTAATAAAATAATGGTAATCATAGATACGATAATATCACACATCGATTTTCACAATCTCCAAAAGAAAATTTCTTATTGCCTATCATAAAATCGTTTCTTCCAATCAAGATTCATATGAATAAACGTTGCTCCCCTCCTTTTGAATACTTTGTTCACGAAAACCATAAAAATCACGCTCTTCTTAAAGCATGTAGCCTACATTTTTTTTTTATGGATCTCATCCAGTTCTAGATAGAAACTTGAGAAACGTCATTGAATAGTTTTTAGCAAATATTTGTCGCTTATTGTATGGCACAAGAAAACAAGCTGTACATGAAATGCAATACACTTGACTTAGCAAGCACTCGTATAGTTGTAACTCACTAGTATAAAACTACACATCTAAAACAAACGTTATGCTCCAGTAGTAGCACCACTAAGGTAGAACTGTTTTTGACATCCATATTGATTGATCTTATAGAACTTTTTCTTCATCTGCTCCTCTAATTAACTAGCCTCGCCGGTTAATGACTTAATTAAGCAAACTAAGATAGAGCGGTCTCTTTTAACCCTTGTTCCGTCTCCGTAGCAACTGTAGCGTGAGGGTAACCAATATACGTAGTTGTCAGTCACGCACTCGCTTCTCACAAATGTCGTTAAGAGATTGTTTACATCATCACAGTCAAAGCTTACGTCTTCTAAACAAATGTTTTTACTACACTAACTTACATGTCATGGTCAATTCCACGATTAAAAATAAACGTATCCGTTGGTGGCGTTAAATTATCAAATTATTTTTAGTGTTCAACACCTGTTAAAACTTTACGTTGCCCGGAATGTAAATTCATCCCCCTCCCTCTTAGGACTAAAAGAAAAAAATCCACGAACAGTTATAATATGACACAGCAAAATAAATTCACCTTCGCTAACGTCTCATCAAATACACTTTTTATATTGCACACTAGTTCTGTTGAGGATAACGTGTCCACGTAGAATGATAGAACATCTCCCTGCACTCCCCTGCGGAAACAGGCAAATTGTTTTTTAGGTATACTCGTGCCACTTCAGTCTACCTAGCTGTTGCCCAATCCGGCGTGTTTTATCGCTATTTTGATTATTGCTAGCACTCTAGGTAGTATTCAACGACAGACATCCATACACCCACTCGTCCATGTAGTCGGCAATAGCTCTCACCTTCCCACCCCGCCTATCGCGTATCCTATTAACGTGTTACTTTTATATTTGCATTAGGCTGTCCAATTGTCTTTAATAACCTTTCTGTGCACGCGTGTTGTGGACTGCTGGTGCATCTCTCTTGGTTATTTATATTAGTATTGGCGTTTGAATGATTGCCGTTTATCTATAGAACTAAACCGTTTTCCATAGTATCAACGCGAACTGTGGAGGTTGATTTATTATAGGAGGTATTAAAGAGTTTCACCTGTGAACACTTCAGGGATGCGGATCTACGTGTCTCAGTTGGCAACAATTAGTTTGCCTCTAATGTGAACCAGACTTGAGCTATATAATTTATACTTCGAATTCTTACACCTTAAAGATAGTTAAGAGCTTGCTATTATAAAATAACAAATATTTATCAGAGAAGTGCTACCGAGGTCCAGGCACATAAAAATCAGAGCCCACTAAGAACCCCCTTTTAAAATACGTACAGGATTTACTGTAACGCTTTACCACAATTATAGCAGCCAAATGGCCCTGGATATTGAATGGCCAAAAATTGGGCCGTTGGAAATGACGTCTTCAAATTAGATAAATTAAAACCAGATGGAAAAAATCGATGCAAGCAATCGATTATTTCGGATGACCAATAACCCACGTAATCAATACACGGGCCCTCAATAGCTTCATAAATGTTTTAGCTTGGACGTAACACGTGAAACATTTTAACGTAAGGAAGCTCAGTGTGTCTACAGTCAAGATCATCAACACTCTAGTCAATACTAAGTACTGGTCTGGGTGAACTACACCATTTCTCTTGATAGATATCGTCAATCAGTTTTATTGACGTTTTCAAACACCAAATGATAAACTGGCTAATTAGGTGTCGGATGGATCGAGGAGCTTGTACCGCACGGCCAATTGCGGTTGGATTGTTTGACGGCCATTTCATGACTGCAACACTTCACTGATTGTCTCATCGATTTACTCGTTCAACAGTTGGATCGTTTTTTTTTTCCTAGGTTGAGGTTTCAATAGCTCCGCGAGCTATATGTCTCCATAAAATAATAGAATAATTGTATTTAAAAATGAAGCGAATGAACCTTATTATTTAACTCCGAGTATTGTGTGGTATACCTTTTAGTGCAAATACACCATCCGGACAAGGATTCACGACTAATACACAATAGTCGCCACCTCGGACGTAGTGGTATTATGGTTACTTTTTGTTCATTAGGGCTTTGTTCATCGTACAATAAAACACACGCAATGCTGTCACGAAGCAAATAATTTCCCCCACGATTGTTAAACAGTGCGACAAGCCTAGTTGGCAAGCAAGCTGTAGTGTTGGGCATTGTAAAACAGAGTATTGAATGAAAAATACGAAATTGATGCTATTGAATACATTGCTTTGATTCCGGTTATTTTGTTGTCGAATCAGCTGTGTGAATTTACCATTCCACACTTGAACTATTCCCGTTCTCCGTTCTTTAAAAATTGGAAATAAGGTATTAAAGGTTAAAATTCTAAATGAGGTTATAAAGGTTGCATAACATTACCCATCAAATGTATTTTTTAAACAGTTTTTTATTTTAAAAAAAGTCCATCCCCTTACATAAGACTACTTTGTTTATAGCATTACTGCCCCCCCCCCCCCGGTTTTCCCTCTCCCCCTGTACTGCTGAGGTTATTTAGGTTTTAAAATTGAATGAGTTACTTGTGTAAACCATGTCCGTGTCATAGAGCCAGAAATGATGAATTGCGGCTTACCTGCTTTAGCTTAATAGCCTTTGTAACCTCAGACAGAATCCGTCCACCTCAATTTAATTAAGGCAATTTCAAAACAATATTACACATGTTTATTTAGTTCCCTAATCAGTTTACGATTTAAATGTTCACATACAAGTTGTTTTTTTTTTACTCCCGATGCATGCTTGGATTAAAAATGTATGAAGCTCTGAGATTTTTAGAAGTCGATGAGTTCATGGAGTGTGTGTAATTTTGTGGACATATCACCATGTACATTGACGGGATTTCAGTTCCAAAATTATCGAGATCTATTTGTATAAATAACGTCCGCATGTGGGGGCGGGAGGTCTGGCCCAACAAAAGATTATTTTTTTTTGGGGGGGGGGGGGGGGGGATTACCGTATTTTAACTTAAATTGTATAGGTTTTAATGAACAATACTTATTAATCCTTCCCTAATGGTGGATAAATTTAAAGGCAGTACTGGTGTTTAAGAAGTTAGTGCATTCGGTCTAAATAGGAAATAGTTATGAACGAGATGAAACCAAATCGACTTCTTACAATACTGCTTACCACTGTAGAAAGTATTACTTTTATTACATACACGTATGTTTTTAATACTTTGCATCAGGTTTTAATTATTTGGAAATAAAAATAATAAAATAAAAACGACCGTTCTCTACGGATTTTTTAAAAAGACAGTTAATTTTTTTCTCCACTAGTCGCCCATAATGACGTCACGGTTTTAAGTGGTTTTTACCTCAAAGGAACACAAAAAGCTCCTGATGTGAAGTCATAAAGTTAATTTCTCCCCCCCCCCCCCCCTTCCCCTCCCGCCCGAAACAACCATGACTCACGAAAATGTACATTTATTTAAAAATCCTTTTTGTTCTTTATTTAAAGCAAATAATCGGGCTGCACAGTATCTTAAACCCTTCACAGTCTTTATTTAAGACAGGCTAACTAAATTTCATTTTTTAAAGTTGGACATAATATCGACACCACATAATAGTATAGTGGTAATCAGTCAATCTGTCATCCCCTCTAACTCGCATGTAATATGCGTAAATATATCATTTATTAGGGATGTGATTTTTCCTATTATTTTTTTAGCAGGAATCCCTTTGAGCTATAATATTCCTCCGATATAGCGTGTGTCAATTCGTGGCCGTTTTATCACCAGCCGTTTTGACGATACACCCAAATGGACGGCCTAATACGCACATTTCATTTCAAACTAGACAAAAACGCTAAGGGCGGTACTAGATATCGGGAATGTGACTTTTCCGAACTTCGGTTATTTACCGTTTAGTTTCCCGCTATTTCCAGTTAAATAAATAAACACAGTAAATTACGCAAAAAAATGTGTGTGTTTGTGTGTATATGTATGCGTGAGTATGTATATGTGTGTATATATATGTATATATATGTATATGTGTGTATATATATGTATATATATGTATATGTGTATATATACATATATGTATATGTGTATATATATATATGTGTGTGTATATGTATGTATATGTGTATTGTATGTATATGTGTATATATATATATGTATATATATATATATATATATATGAATGTATATATGAATGTATATATATGAATATATATTTATACATACATGTGTGCATGTATATGTGTGTATGTGTATGTATGTATGTGTGTGTTTGTGTGCCTATGTGTGTATATGTGTATATATATGGCTACATATACATGTTTATATATGCATATATATGTGTGTGTATATATACATATATGTATATGTGTATGTATGTATATATATGTATATGTATATGTTTGTATATGTATGTATATGTATATGTTTGTATATGTATATGTTTGTATATGGATGTATGTATGTGCATGTATACATACATGTTTATGTATATATATATATATATATATATATATATATATATATATATATATGTGTGTGTGTATATGTGAATATATATGTATGTGTGCATATATATGCATATGTGTATATGTATATATATATATGTGTGTATGTGTATATATGTATATATATATATATGTATATTGATATATATAGCATGTTTTTAAATGTATATATTGATCCCATAGTGTTTTAGGAACTTTCATGACTACCATTTACACAATAATAATTTTTGTTTTCCTTTGTTCTCATTTTAAATTTAGATCTGTCTCATTAATGATCGCAACTCAGGCAAACCAAGGGGATATGCATTTATTGAGTATGAACATGAGAGGGATATGCACTGTGAGTATACATACTGATAGTATTTTTTGCTTACTTTTTCTTGCTTCAACCATATGCTATCATACATGCTTTACTAAACATGGAGATCATAACTGATTATTTCTCTACTATTTGATATCATATTGAACATTAAGCTTGTGTGGGCAAGTAAGGAGACATCGAGAGACAGACCCGCACCTGCAGGTAATACTTCCCTCCCCTTCTTTACTCCCATGTATATGTTGGGTGCGGCCCTCTTGGAGTAAAGGTAACAGCTAATGGTTTCTTAACAATATAATGCTCAAGGTGAAGCATGTTTTTTGGTAAAAATGTAGTAAATAAAAAAAAGTAAAGCAAATGAGATGGTAAGTTGAGTTGGATGGTACGCTGTGGACCTGCTGAAAATAAGGAAAAATTTGCAGTAAAGTGTTTGTACATAAGTATGTACATGGAATGGGCATTCTAAACGTCGTGTCTCCTTATTTCTCCCGCAGCCACCAGCAAAAGGATGCATGGCACACAGCCATCAACTACTTGATTAGCTCCTTACACTATGTTGTCCATACTGTGTTCACCCTCTGCCTAGGTTTGTATGTGCGTAGGTTTGTATGTGCGGTAAGACCTATCGCTCGTGCTGCGCGCATACACAGCCGAGAACATACTCAGTTCCTTACTTTAAGTCCACTTTGGAAAAAACTACTTTTTTCCCTCTAGATTTTTTAAGGATCAACCTTTGTTTCTTAAATAGATAAAAGTGGGAAAGTTTGAAAGTTGTTCCTTTTTTTTTCACTCTTAATTTCTAAACATAATTATACAAGTAATCTGTTTTAAAATTTTAAAGAAAGTAACTCCTTTAAAAGAAATGTAAATTTAAAAATACTTTATAGTTATAAAATATACAGAAAACTAACGTCAGTGAAAATAGAAACAATTTATTTTTCGCTAAACAAGCCAGATCACATTTTCTAAAAGCTATTATGAACCAAAAAATTATATGCTGTTGATTCAGTTTTTAATTTGTGCGGCTTCCATAAATAGAAAATGTGGTCTGTGAAATTGGCGTTTCGGGTAAGTTATCGGGTAAGTTCTTGGTGCCTCATGGCGACAGACTGCCCTTGATGACCTACGCCTTATGAACTTGATAAATCAAGTGTGGTGTGGTGGGATTATGGCAAAGCTAACTCATGGGTAGGTTAGCGTAAGTTTTTCTTTTCAATATTGACGTCCCTTTTTTTAAAACCACAAAAACTCATCTAATTTCATCTGTGTGTTCAGTGTAGAATATAAAAATTTTCTCTAAGAATTCCAATAGTGATAACTTAAATTTGTTTTGATTGTGGATTGTTGGTAGGTATATAAAGATATGGGTAGGTATGAACAGATAAATTTGTCCCACTCCCTATAAGAAGTCTATACAGTCCTGTGCCAGTTGTCTTTCTTCATCATGTTATTCCTAACATTTTTCTTTCTCTTATGATTACTCTGTTCATGTATATACATTTCATTGACATATTTAAAACTAGAAGTGGTTTCTGCAAGAGTAGAAGGATGCAGTCACTCAGTCTTCCAGAGTTTGTCAACCTTCCAATTGATTATCTGTCATCTTCAATTAATTTTTCTGTTTAATATTTTTTACCATCACATAATTTTTTTTATATCCACAATATAATATTATTACAGTTTCAGCAAATGAGTACTGGTGTGTTGCCTCTAATTAGTTGATGAAAGAATACTTATCTATTATCTCTTTCATAATAATCTGTCTGAAACAAGACGGATTAATACATTGATAAACTTCTTGTAAAATGGACACAGTACCCATTTCAAACTATTTATAAAGGTTATCAGAGTTAAACCTTTTTAGCGTATTATTGATTATACTAATCTACTTTAAAACCCTACAGCGGCATACAAGCATGCAGATGGTAAAAAAATTGATGGTAGAAGAGTATTGGTTGATGTGGAGAGGGGACGTACAGTTAAAGGATGGAGACCTAGAAGATTAGGTTTGTTTTTAACATTCAGCAGTTTGTAATGGCATTTTTACTTTCAATTAAAAAGAAGTTTTTAATTTTGGCCAAATGCGCTAAACTTTATATGTAAATCATTTGGAAAAATAAAAATGCCTTATAAGTTATGGATATTTAGTCATTTTTTGACAAAGAAATTATATATATAAACAGGTGGTGGACTTGGTGGCACACGCAAGGGTGGCCCAGATGAAAATACAAGATTTTCTGGCAGAGATGAATTTGGTGCTGGTGCTGGTAGTGAAAGAGGAGGGTAAGTCACAGAATGTCACTTGAAATACATAGTTACGTTTTGTTAAAATATGCAGTGGTGGGGGTTAATTGAGGAGATAATGAGGTCCACATAGAATTACTGAGAAAACTATAAAATAGAGGTAGTAGATATTTATAAAAGTTATTAGAAAAAGTGAAATTTATCTATTATACTAACAGATAAATATTAACTGCTTACATTTAATTACGTTTTGCTGATTAATGTCTACTTACGTCTACATCAAGTGCAAGAACTCCAGTGTCTAAAACTAATTCCATAGCATGAGCCCGTGGCATTTTGTATAATCCACATGTCCTTGTAGTTGGTAGAAAAGAGTGATTTCACTGACATTGATTTGACTAGTTTATTACACCATTCCTCTAATTATATCCATCTGATTGAGAAGAGCAGAGCACATTTTGAAATTGATAAAAATCACATATCAGGTAAACTGTATTAACAGATGCACATGCTTTTTTTTCTCTGGTCTGTGTGAAACCATTTTATTTTTGTAGATTCCGCAATGCAGTTGAAGATGAACGTGGTGTCGGCGGCGGTGGTGGTGGTGGCAGACGAGTTGAGCGATCGAGAAGCCGTGAAAGGAGACGTAGAAGTAGGAGCAAAGAACGTCCTCGGCGGAGCAGGAGCAGGGAGAGAATCCGACGCTCTCGTAGCAGGGAAAGGAAACGTAGTCGTGAACCAAGACCAGAAGCTGAGGGTAAAATTAAAACATCAATAATTATAGTACAAGTTTTTGCTTATCGTTAAACATGACCAAATTATCTGCAATTTGATGAAGATAATGTAATTAAGGATAACCATGCAATCATTTTAAAAAGAAATAGTATTTTGATTTTAAGTTTCTGTCACATGAGTAGCTACCAGTACAATAATTGTTCATATATTTATGCTTGTTACATGCACATCTTTTAAATAGTAGGCACCCATTAAATTATATATAACTAGAGGTGTCCATGAGGGCAAATAATTAGCCTGTCATGTCACTTTTGCAGTGCTCATCTACTAGTTTTCATCAGACCTTATACAGCTTTTTATTATTTTGGTACATATGGTTTAAATAAAAATGTTTTTTTTTCATTATTCACTTTTAAGTTCTTATCAGGCATGTGTGTGAAATAATGCATGAAGTTTTGTTTGTAAAACAACAAATAATTTGCATGTTGCAGTTATTCCTGATGAAGAGGAAGGTGCAGTTGCACGTAGAGAAAAGAAAAGAAGCAGACGAAGTCGTTCACGTGACAGAGACCGTGAAAGGCGCAGAAGTAGATCCAGAGACAGAAAACGAAGCAAACGATCCCGGTCAAAGGAACGCAAGTTTAAGATCAAAGAAGAAGAACAACAGCAAGGCCAGTGGGTGGGTGGAGATGAGGATGGATTGAATGGTAACCAAGAGGTGAATGAAGAAGGTTTTCCTGAAAGTATTCGTGTCAAAGAAGAGAAAGCAGATGCCTATGTTGGTTATGGTGGAGATGGACAACAAAGAATTGATGATGAGGAAGAATTTGAAGAAGGCGAGGCTCAGTGATAACTCAAGCTTTTTAAAAGTTTTTATCCATTCAATGTAGAAAGCCCTTTTAATCTTCCCTCTCTTCACTTAGTGACTGGTATCTGATTAGGTCTTTTTTAAAGAAACAATAGGCTGTTGAGCAGATATCCATTATTTTCTTTAATTTTCAAAGAAGCTTACAACTCTCACTGTTGTGTTTGATGGTCCTAGCAGTTTTTAAAATTATTTCATGTATCATTTGTTTTAATTTGTTTTGACGATCAGTTGATGTACTCACATGAAATGTTCTGATTTGTGGTGACAATTTGAATATTTCATTTAAGTGAGCCAATAGCTCAAAATATATTTTTTAAATAACATTAGTGAATAAAGAGTAGGTAAGTATCAATTTCTGTAACTTTTCCAATTTACTCCTGAAAGATGCTCTGTTACTTGATTGCAAGTTTTTAAGTTCTGTATAATAGTAGGCTCAATGTTATTTTAGGTGGACAATAAAACATTTGTAATAAGAATTGCTTGCTTTCATTCATTTTTTTTAGAAGTTTTAATTTGCTCAATATATTGTTGGTTGAAGGTGGAGTCAGGTTGGCTGTCAGTTGTAGGGCAAACATTGGAGATGTTTTTAAAAACTTAATGAGAAGTTTTACTTCTTAATAGTACTTTGGGTAACTGTAATAGAACTTCAGCTTGCAAATGTTCTCCAAATAATACAACCTGCTAGTTTTGTAATTGAAGCTAACACAGAAATTGGGTCTAAGGACACATTGTGCACATCATTAGATTGCTACATGCCACGTGTATACTTTACATGTCTAGAAAAAAAAAAATATACAATACGTTTTTATCAGAACATTATTGGAGGGAGGGGGGTAGTAGTTGGGAAGTTTTTCAACTAGGTGTATAGTATACGTTATGCAAGTGTAAATGTGTTAGGTGTGATCAGATTTAATTTCAAGGGGCCACGTTTCTACATTTTAATCATCCGGTACTATTTAAATGAGTTGTTTAAACAAGAATTGTGCGACACAACTTAATTTAATTGTTAATGAAGTTTCATTTAATTCAGTGTTCTGTTACTATACAAACTCCAAAGTTCAGATGTGTTTATGGACGATACTGATTTTTATTTGGAAATGTCAGCTCAATGACAAATGAATTGTTTAGTGTAGTAACAGTGAACTAAGCTACATCTTGACAATTTCAGATATACTGCAATCATCTTGACAGTTTCAGATGTACTGTAGTCAACTTAACAATTTTAGATATCATGCAGTAATTTTGACAGTTTTAGTTTTATCTATAGTGCAGTGATATTGACATTTTCCATAGTTTAATGGGGAATGTCAACTTATCAAATTGTGGAGTAGTAGTTAACAACATTTATTGGGTAGTGGGGGATGACATCTGAATAAGCGACTGATTGACTTAGATGTTCCAAATGCAGCGGAAATTTTTTTTAATGAAGAAATTCGGCAACGTAATAAATTTTGATATAGTGGGTCGCGTCTAAAGTAACACAAAATACCTAACTCATCTCGTGGATTGATCATATAGCATGTCCACACGAGCTCTGTCTTGAATACCAGGCTTACTCTGGTACTAGAAGAATGGCTCACACATTCATTCAACATTCTGCCTCCCACCCCCACGACTCTTTGATCTAGTGCACCAAGGTCAGGGTCGCTTGATGATGTTTATGCGGTTTCCCTAGGGTGAGATAGCAATACAAAATCTCTATCCCAGTTTGCGCTGTTAGTTTCTTCACAAGATAATCTTTGATGCTCTACCAAACCGCATAAGTTGGCCTATATTTTCCTTATGTTTCATTGAACTTTTATTCCTGTAGTTTCCAAACCTCTACGCTCCTTCTATTTAGCTAGCACTAATTTGGTTTCAAGAGTCGGATCCCAAGAGTCCACATGGGTTGAAGACTTTCTTAGATCGCCCATCAGCTGTCAGTTGCTCCCGACTGCTGCTTCTCTTTTCATTTTTAAAAAAATGTTTTAAACCAGATGCCAGCTTTTGTGCGTTGGTTGCCGCTATTTGTTGGTTCGGTTCAATTCGCATCGTCTGTGTACAGGGGGGGGGGGGGTGCCCATAGACTCTGGCGTCAACTTTAAACAGAACAATTTTTTCTGTGCTGACCAGAGACTGGCGTTAAATAGATCATATTTTTTCTGTGGGGGGGGGGGGGGGGGTTGACCACAATTTTTTTTTCTCTCCACCATCTGACTGAGACATCGCAAAACAGTTTCCAGTTTTAAAATGTTAGTGCCCCCCCCCCCATTCCCGCGCTACTACACGGATGTCTTTCCTCCAATCGATCAAGTCCCAATCCTACACCCCGTCAGGACACTTTTATAATCTCTTCTTACCCGATACAATCATGGCGGCTGTAAACTGTATCTTGTTTCCAATCGAGAACTTGTGTTTTTTATGTTGTGTAGTTAAATAACGGACACCCTGTTCAGATATTTTTACACTTCTTTCACGCATTCTTATCAGCCCAATGGTCAAACACGCAGTCTTGTCTCTGTTGCCTTGACCCCAGCCAATGGTCAAGGACGTAGTGTTGTCTCTATTGCCTTGAACCCAGCCAACGGTCAAGGACGTAGTGTAGTCTCTGTTGCCTTGACCCCACCCAATGGTCAAGGACGTAGTGTAGTCTCTATTGCCTTGACCCCACCCAACGGTCAAGGACGTAGTGTAGTCTCTATTGCCTTGACCCCACCCAACGGTCAAGGACGTAGTGTTGTCCTTATTGCCTTGACCCCAGCCAATGGTCAAGGACGCAGTGTTATGTTAGTGCCCTTAGCAGGACCGCAAGTTGTCAAACAACTTCCTCCTCTATCGCGTCGTTTTGTTCTCCTTTACTGCGTGCTAATCTCCTGATCAGAGCTAAAACACTTCCACGCCTGTAATGTCTTGCACAGATGTTGTGTGTCCATTGATGCCACACGGGTCTAGCTCATCGTGTATTTCCTCTGGACTTGAGCCGCACCTGAACAAACCGGCAACTTATCCGTGTGAACCACCTGAGCAAGCGGCAACTTATCATGGCGGGGGAGATAATCAACCTGTCCAATCACACAAATCAAATGTGTTAACCATCGGCCAAGTCGGCTCATGAATACAGTAGTGCACCCACGCAGGTACTACTTTCAGTGCTAAGCCGTTTATCGTCTAATTTAATATGTCAAAACACGTCAGAGCCTCACGATACGACTTATAGAGCAAGTGTTTTACCAGTTATAGGTAGATATTTGATAGAAAGTTGTACTCAAACAGTTATAGAGCAAGTGTTTTACCAGTTATAGGTAGATATTTGATAGAAAGTTGTACTCACGCAGCTGTGAATAAGTTAGCATCAAGTTTTAATGATGTTTACTAGCTTACGTACAAATACGATTTACTTTTTATTCATACTGATCTCACATGTATGATCTTTTACTCCCCCCCCCCCCCACCCGTTCTGAAATATCGTGGACGATTTTTATTAACTGCTATTTCCATCAGAGCAGAATTCATTTTGTCGGTTATCTTTGTTTTATTGAAACTGTCGATTTAACTTTTTAAAATTCTTTGAATTGTATCAATCAAACTTTCTCAAAGCCATGTCTCTTCCCCCCCCCCCTTCCAACACACACACACCTACACACACACAGAGTAGATACGAAAGTACTTGACTCAAGTTCCACATTTCTACCCCCAAAACAGAAGATTTCCTGCCACCCGAAAGTGATGAGAAATGTTCTAAAATGTTCGAGAAATGCGGCTCCCCGATGGAAGACATCTATAGCTTGGTGGTCCCCCCCCCCCCACATCACGAGAGGTCGCAAGATGTGATTTCCCCTATTTATTTGATTTTCTCACAAAGTGGGGCCGTATCGACCCCGACGCTGTCGTTATTCGTTGCCACGTAAGATAACTTTGGATGCAACTCATTTATAAATAACGGTGACCGGCACAATAGCAGATAGGTACACACGCAACTATGACGTGAGCACAACATCTTTACTCACCGACAGTGGCTCAACAATTTGCTGAGTGCAGCTCAGCAGCTGTTAAGGAAAACTATTTAGAAAAAAAAAAGAACAGCAATCAGAAGAGAGTCCAGATGTTAGTGGCCCTTATGTTAATGAATCAAATCGCTGACTTTTATTATTATAATATAGGCCTATATATATATATATATATATATATATATATATATATATATATATATATATATATATATATATATACATATATATATATAGTATATATATAAGGCCTATTTGCCTAAGCGAAGAGATGCAAAGGCTGCATGTTACAGCCTACATAACGAGCGTATATGCTTTATGCCTAGGTGCAAGTTGTGGGAAGGGGGTAAACTCGGGTAAAGAGGGTTTTTAAAAAGTTTGAGAGCAAGTTGAAATCGGGGATCATGTTTTTTCGGTTAATGCTGTAGTTTCCCAGGCAAGCAAGGCCGAAAAGCTTCACAAAAGCGCACACGCATATAAATAAAATAAATTAAAATTAAAATAAACAACTAAGGCCCTATTACTAAATACTTAATCATAAAAATTATGTGAACAGCATTTCTCCTGTTTGATTGAGATAATCCTGGTATCTGCCCTGTTGTTATTGCATTTGGAAATTTTAAAATTAATTTTTTATGTTCATTGTAATATCTAATTACATATTCAATTAGATATTCTTGCATTGCCTTTGAAGATGAATGTGAAAAGTTGGAACGGATTTGGTCAAAATTGAGTTACAAGAGAGCTTCAGCAAGTAAATCAAACACTAGTATTTGTCACAAACACCGGTTTCACTCGGCGTCCCCCCCCCCCCCCCACACACACACACAGACTCTCACATCACCACCTCCTCACCCTCACTCAACCCCTCACTCACAAAAGGATTTTCCACTCACCAAAAAGGAAGTCTACCTTCAGATGGGACGGGCTGTTGTCAATGTCAGCAGCTCCCCCCCTCCCACCCCCACTCTACCACACCCGTTTAGCTGTAAGAAGACAACGATTGTATAGGTGTTGTGTAAAAATAAATGTCATCCTTTAGGAGACAGATCCAATGGTCTACTGTTAGATCTATGGTCTATTGTTGGGCATAGATCTATGGTCTATTGTTGGGCATAGATCTATGGTCTATTGTTGGGCATAGATTTATGGTCTATTGTTGGGCATAGATCTATGGTCTATGGTTGGGCATAGATCTATGATCTATGGTTGGGCTTAGATCTATGGTCTATTGTTGGGCATAGATCTATGGTCTATTGTTGGGCATAGATCTATGGTCTATTGTTGGGCATAGATTTATGGTCTATTGTTGGGCATAGATCCATGGTCTATTGTTGGGCATAGATCTATGGTCTATTGTTGGGCATAGATCTATGGTCTATTGTTGGGCATAGATCTATGATCTATTGTTGGGCATAGATCTATGGTCTATTGTAGGGCATAGATCTATGGTCTATTGTTGGGCATAGATCTATGATCTATTGTTGGGCATAGATCTATGGTCTATTGTAGAGCATAGATCTATGGTCTATTGTTGGGCATAGATCTATGGTCTATTGTAGAGCGGCCTTCAATCTGCCGGAAGTTTGTCAGTGACACTATCATCTAGGTGGGGGAGGGGGGGGGGGGATAAGAAGAGGTAAGAAAAAAACATTACAATTTCCAGTGTTCTCTAGAAAGCTGATATTTTAAGTGCAAGTGAGTTTTATTTTTGACTGCCGTGAGAGAGCCGATCGTTAGTTGATGAACCACGACTTACACGCAGAGAGTTTTAGAATCGTAACAGGTGTTCCCGTTCAAACTAAAAAAAATCAACGTTCAACAGTCAGGAATTGGGTGAGCTGATATTTAAAGTATTTGCTTCTAGATGGGCGAAAGATACATGGGACTATGTGGACAGGACTAGTGTTATTGTTGAAGACAGGGATAAAATCAGTGGGTGACGTGTACAAGTAGGATAAACTCATGGTAGCTTTTGAGTCAGTCAGGTTTTAGAGGTAGGGGAGGCAACGAGCAGGTTTTAGAGGCAGGGGAGGCAACGAGCAGGTTTTAGAGGCAGGGGAGGCAACGAGCAGGTTTTAGAGGTAGGGGAGGCAAGGGGCAGGTTTTAGAGGCAGATGTTGGCAGTGTGCAACAGTGTGATCTCTAGATAAACCTGGAAGAAATCTATAACACCTTGTTAATATTAGGAGAACTAGTTATTTGAATAGTGTTTCAATCATGAAGAGTTCTCGCCATATTACTGCAGAAGATGCTCATTTCTAGCCATGCGACATTGCGACATTTTAAGCCCCACATTAACAGACGGGAAAAAGTCTTGTGAAAAAAAAGGATATAAAAAAAGCTAGGGACATCAGCGATCCAGTGCATGCTTGTGGGGAGGGGTATGGTGGGTAGGGGGAGGTGGCCCAATGAGCGTGGTTAGTTGCATTAATGACTGGCTTAATGCTTGCACGAGCCAGGGGTTTCTATAAATGTATTAGGCTTCAGCCCTACCCTAGTCACGATACCCAGAAGTTTCTAAAGTGAGTTGCCATATTGTATTGTCCTATTTTAAATACAGCTCAATTTCTGCAAAATAATGTCATCAAATATTCATAATATTTTTAATTAATTTAAACTAAAAAGGTTATCTATATTAAATTAGCTTTAAAACATGTTGCCAATATCCTAACAAATTTAAAAAAAAATTAAGCTCTTAAAATGTCAATCTATGTACAGCACAGATTGCCTGCTTGTCGAGGCTAGAGCTACAGCAGAAGGAAACATATATATTTTTGTTTAAATTTAAATTATCCTAAACCCACACCAGCTCACATCCCAAACCAGTCTCACATCCCAAACCAGTCTCACATCCCAAACCAGTCACACATCCCAAACCAGTCACATATCCCAAACCAGTCACACATCCCAAACCAGTCACACATCCCAAACCAGTCACACATCCCAAACCAGTCACATATCCCATTAAATCCATCCCGCGTATTACAAGCCAGTGTATCACACATAGCCTATTAGAGTTTACCACTGGTTGCTAGAGTCTGTTGTTAGAGTCTGTTGTTAGAGTGAGTTGTTAGAGTCAGTTGTTAGAGTCTGTTGTTAGAGTCTGTTGTTAGAGTCTGTTGTTTCTGTTGTTAGAGTCTGTTGTTAGAGTCTGTTGTTAGAGTCTGTTGTTAAAGTCTGTTGTTAGAGTGAGTTGTTAGAGTGAGTTGTTAGATTCTGTTGTTAGAGTCTGTTGTTAGAGTCTGTTGTTAGAGTCTGTTGTTAGAGTCTGTTGTTAGTCTGTTGTTTCTGTTGTTAGAGTCTGTTGTTAGAGTCTGTTGTTAGAGTCTGTTGTTAGAGTCTGTTGTTAGAGTGAGTTGTTAGAGTCTGTTGTTAGAGTCTGTTGTTAGAGTCTGTTGTTTCTGTTGTTAGAGTCTGTTGTTAGAGTCTGTTGTTAGAGTCTGTTGTTAAAGTCTGTTGTTAGAGTGAGTTGTTAGAGTGAGTTGTTAGATTCTGTTGTTAGAGTCTGTTGTTAGAGTCTGTTGTTAGAGTCTGTTGTTAGAGTCTGTTGTTAGTCTGTTGTTTCTGTTGTTAGAGTCTGTTGTTAGAGTCTGTTGTTAGAGTCTGTTGTTAGAGTCTGTTGTTAGAGTCTGTTGTTAGAGTCTGTTGTTAGAGTCTGTTGTTAGAGTCTGTTGTTAGAGTCTGTTGTTAGAGTCTGTTGTTAAAGTCTGTTGTTAGAGTGAGTTGTTAGAGTGAGTTGTTAGATTCTGTTGTTAGAGTCTGTTGTTAGAGTCTGTTGTTAGAGTCTGTTATTAGAGTCTGTTGTTAGAGTCTGTTGTTTCTGTTGTTAGAGTCTGTTGTTAGAGTCTACCATTGGTTGCTAGTCTATCAGTTGATGTTCTTATCTATAACGGGAGGAGGCGATGCACGAGTTAATAAACCTTGTGTAGATTGAGTCCACAGTTGCAAAGAATAATGTGAACTTGATAACCCTAACTCCCACCGTAGTGCAAAAAATTTCATACATTGGCAGTTCTCGTGTTCATAATTTAAGAGGGTTGCACAATGCCTTAAACCTAGCGCCATTTAGGTGATATTTAAAAAAAAAAAGGAGTGGGGGTTGGGGGTTATTCTCTTAATACAGTAAAGGTAAACAATGCAGCAGGTTGAAATGACGTCACACGTGTCGAGATGACGAGCCATGATTGGCCACACGTATTCCGTCAGACGTGTCTGTCTGGCAACTATCAGCTCTGTCATCCGGCGCTCCCGCACGGATTAGCCGCCATATGCACTGGCGCTTGATTCACTCGAGCTCAAGGTGGATCGCGGGAGCTAAAGGTGGATCGTCTGAGCTTAAGTGACCCTAAAAATATCTCCCCGTGTGGGGGGGGGGTAGATTATGAAGGGGTGGTGGGAGGGGTAGGGGGTTTAACACCGTTAGCGTGAGTCTTCAATCACAAGCGTTATATTGTACAGTCTCAGAGCGGTGCCCCCACCCCCACCTCCCCCTCACCCCGACTGGCGCTCATCGATTTTTGTTGGACCGACAACTATGTAGTTACTTAGATGGCCCCAGGCAAATGGGTCGGACTTGTATGATTTACGTTTTCTAGTCTGGTCACGTGTCATCGCTTAATCAGACCCCTGTTGTCATATTTATCACAGACCCCTGTTGTCATCTTTATCACAGACCCCTGTTGTCATCTTTATCACAGACCCCTGTTGTCATCTTTATCACAGACCCCTGTTGTCATGTATTTCACAGACCCCTGTTGTCATCTTTATCACAGACCCCTGTTGTCATCTTTATCACAGACCCCTGTTGTCATCTTTATTGCAGACCCCTGTTGTCATCTTTATCACAGACCCCTGTTGTCATCCTTGTCACAGACCCCTGTTGTCATCTTTATCACAGACCCCTGTTGTCATCTTTATCACAGACCCCTGTGTCATCTTTATCACAGACCCCTGTTGTCATCTTTATCACAGACCCCTGTGTCATCTTTATCACATACCTCTGTTGTCATCTTTATCACAGACCCCTGTTGTCATCTTTATCACAGACCCCTGTTGTCATCTTTATCACAGACCCCTGTTGCCATCTATTTCACAAACCCCTGTTGTCATCTTTATCACAGACCCCTGTTGTCATCTTTATTGCAGACCCCTGTTGTCATCTTTATCACAGACCCCTGTGTCATCTTTATCACAGACCCCTGTTGTCATCTTTATCACAGACCCTTGTTGTCATCTTTATCACAGACCCCTGTTGTCATCTTTATCACGGACCCCTGTTGTCATCTTTATCACGGACCCCTGTTGTCATCTTTATCACAGACCCCTATTGTCATCTTTATCACAGACCCCTGTTGTCATGTATTTTACAGACCCCTGTTGTCATCTTTCTCACAGATCCCTGTTGTCATCTTTCTCACAGACCCCTGTTGTCATCTTTCTCACAGACCCCTGTTGTCATCTTTATCACAGACCCCTATTGTCATCTTTATCACAGACCCCTGTTGTCATGTATTTTACAGACCCCTGTTGTCATCTTTCTCACAGATCCCTGTTGTCATCTTTCTCACAGACCCCTGTTGTCATCTTTCTCACAGACCCCTGTTGTCATCTTTCTCACAGATCCCTGTTGTCATCTTTATCACAGACCCTTGTTGTCAACTTTATCACAGACCCTTGTTGTCATCTTTATCACAGACCCCTATTGTCATCTTTATCACAGACCCCTGTTGTCATGTATTTTACAGACCCCTGTTGTCATCTTTCTCACAGATCCCTGTTGTCATCTTTCTCACAGACCCCTGTTGTCATCTTTCTCACAGACCCCTGTTGTCATCTTTCTCACAGATCCCTGTTGTCATCTTTATCACAGACCCTTGTTGTCATCTTTATCACAGACCCTTGTTGTCAACTTTATCACATAATCCTGCTGTCATCAATTTCACAGATCTTTATGACAGGCCCCTGACATCACCTAATGACCTATGTAACCGTCAGTACAGTCAGTAAACGTGACAACACACAGGATAATGATGAGCCAGTTAGTTTGAATGATTGCTTCAAGCATAAAAAAACAAAACAAAAACACAATCAGTGAGAAGATAAAAAAAAAACAACTAAACAGTTGATAAAAACAAAAACAAAATTAAAAGTTGTATCTTTTATGATACCATTGTTTTATAAAAATGTAGAACCCTTTCTAAATATAGTTTATGTTTTGTAACTGGTAAAAAGAGAGCACATACATTTAGATAGCGTTGAACTATTTCTACTGTGAAAGTTTGAATGTCCTCAGACGGAAGGCACAGTTTAAACTAGTGGCGTCTTCCAACTCGCTTCCAAGATGGCGTCTTCTATAAATAAATCAATCACCCTGACAGCAGTTCCGTTCTATAATTTAAAGCACAGTCACGTGACGCTCCAAGTCTGTGACGAGTCGCATCTAGATCTAGTTCCAAATAGAGGTAACACGCACAATTTGATCCCTGCAAAGGGAAGTAACTGCTTATAGCCGCGCGTCATCTCCCCTCGTCAAGGCGAGGGAACCTCGTTCTCAGAAAAAAATTCTGTTGGCCTTGTATGTATTGAATTGTATTTTATGTGCTTTATATGCTAACATTATTTTATCACCTTTAGATATAATCAGTAAAATTTTCTTGGCAGAATATTACTTTCCACATCAATTTTAGCTGTAAAAAAAAACTAGAATAAATTTTTCGTTTTCAACTTTTTTTGTTAACCGTTATCATACGAAACACATTATTAATGAAGGAATAAGCTTAGTTAAATCAGATTCAGATGCATCAAAACTAGAAAGTAAAATCAACTGTGGACAGATTGAAGAAGTTATCAAGCAGGATGAAATGGAGTTATCTTTGGCTCGTAAAATGCTTATGTGGCAACCATGTGAACCTCTTGTTGGTCCAGCTCCACCAAACCAATGGAAATAGCCTCTACCATAGATACTATTACATTAATACATTTTTTACTTTTTTTATATAGATACTGCTAGTGTTGTTTTTTTCAATCAGGTTACACATGATGTTTATAGAAAATTATCATTAGGAGTTGTTAGAAATCAAATCTAAGTATTTTTGAATGCACTGAAAGAGATGGATGATCAAAACTCTATTAAAAAGTGAAAAATTAACACCTAACCACATATTATTTTGCGTTGTATGAAGAATTCTAAAAATAACTTGATGTTTTTAAAAAATCTAAATGCTCTAGCAGTAGGCCTTTAACACTATGTTAGTGCATTTAAAATTATTTTCTCTGCATTAATAAGTTGTTTCTAGATCTAATACAAATTCAGTCAACCAAAAAATAAAAAGCAATAGGACTATCTTTTTAAAAAAATAATTTTGCTCGATGTAAAAATGTCTCAACTAATTATGCTAATAAAATATCAGTATTTTGATAAAAAATAATCTACCTGGGATTTCGAAAAGAATTCCACTGGTAATATCAAGGGGGTTCTACCTGGTGTAGTTACTATGACGTCACAGGAGGAAGCCGTAAGGAAAAATAGAGTAAAAAAATATTTACCTGCTCGGCTTAAAAATCCATCACTTTCCGAGTTCATTCATTGCTCCAGTTGGCTAAAATTAGATTTTTTTCGTCACGTGAGATCACATGACTCCACGATAACCTTTCGAAAATAAGATAAAAATAAACATTGCATCACAAATCCCAGAGGAAAAAACAATTTCATTTCCACTCTACGTTAAGTGTTGTTTTTTTTTACCTCTAGCCCCGAGAGAGTTAAAAATATCAAAAGTTGAAAACATGAAAGTAACTTTAAAGGGAAAAATAACGTGCATTAAAAAAAAAACAACCAGAAAACGAGTTCTCATTTGTTGTTGATGAAAAAAAATGGCGGGAGATTACGAGGCGAATGTATGGAAGATTTACAAGATGACTTCCTGTGGATTGATTGGGTTGTCTTCGGGTGTGTGGGGTTGTATTATGTGTGTGTGGGGTTGTAGTCTGGGTGTGTGGAGTTGTCTTAATGGTGTGTGGGTTTTCTCATGGGTGTGTGGAGCAGACGAGATGGGGACATGTCGGAGATATTTTGTTAAGAACTTGGCATGGCAGAAGATGTCAACGGGTTGAATGCTTTCATTCATTACGTCTGTAGAGTAGTGGGGTGGGGAGGGGCTGGGGGTTGAGGAGGGGAGGGGCTAAAGTGACAGGGTGTGAAGTCGGCGGGGTCATTTGGTAATATCTGAAAACTAGGTGGAGCTGTAAGGTCGTCTAGGGCAATAGATAATGAAGCTTTTGGATCATATAGGACAATGGAGAGAGTAGCACATCTGTCATTATATAAGAGAGTACCACACCTATCAATTATATCAGTACCACACCTGTCATTATATCAGTACCACACCTATCAATTATATCAGTACCACACCTGTCATTATATCAGTACCACACCTATCAATTATATCAGTACCACATCTGTCATTATATAAGAGAGTACCACACCTATCAATTATATCAGTACCACACCTGTCATTATATCAGTACCACACCTATCAATTATATCAGTACCACACCTGTCATTATATCAGTACCACACCTATCAATTATATCAGTACCACATCTGTCATTATATAAGAGAGTACCACACCTATCAATTATATCAGTACCACATCTGTCATTATATAAGAGAGTACCACACCTATCAATTATATCAGTACCACACCTGTCATTATATCAGTACCACACCTATCAATTATATCAGTACCACACCTGTCATTATATCAGTACCACACCTATCAATTATATCAGTACCACGTCTGTCATTATATCAGTACCACACCTATCAATTATATCAGTACCACGTCTGTCATTATATCAGTACCACACCTATCAATTATATCAGTACCACGTCTGTCATTATATCAGTAAAACAACTATCAATTATATCAGTACCACGTCTGTCATTATATCAGTACCACACCTATCAATTATATCAGTACCACGTCTGTCATTATATCAGTACCACACCTGTCATTATATCAGTACCACGTCTGTCATTATATCAGTACCACACCTGTCATTATATCAGTACCACACCACACCTATCAATTATATCAGTACCACATCTGTCATTATATCAGTACCACACCTGTCATTATATCAGTACCACGTCTGTCATTATATAAGAGAGTACCACACCTGTCATTATATAAGAGAGTACCACACCTGTCATTATATCAGTACCACACCTGTCATTATATCAGTACCACACCTGTCATTATATCAGTACCACACCTGTCATTATATAAGAGAGTACCACGTCTGTCATTATATCAGTACCACACCTGTCATTATATCAGTACCACACCTGTCATTATATCAGTACCACACCTGTCATTATATAAGAGAGTACCACATCTGTCATTATATCAGTACCACACCTGTCATTATATCAGTACCACATCTGTCATTATATAAGAGAGTACCACACCTGTCATTATATCAGTACCACACCTGTCATTATATCAGTACCACATCTGTCATTATATCAGTACCACACCTGTCATTATATCAGTACCACACCTGTCATTATATCAGTACCACGTCTGACATTATATCAGTACCACATCTGTCATTATATCAGTACCACACCTGTCATTATATCAGTACCACACCTATCAATTATATCAGTACCACACCTGTCATTATATCAGTACCACACCTGTCATTATATCAGTACCACACCTGTCATTATATAAGAGAGTACCACATCTGTCATTATATAAGAGAGTACCACACCTGTCATTATATCAGTACCACACCTGTCATTATATCAGTACCACACCTGTCATTATATCAGTACCACACCTGTCATTATATCAGTACCACATCTGTCATTATATCAGTACCACACCTGTCATTATATCAGTACCACACCTGTCATTATATCAGTACCACACCTGTCATTATATAAGAGAGTACCACATCTGTCATTATATAAGAGAGTACCACACCTGTCATTATATCAGTACCACACCTGTCATTATATAAGAGAGTACCACACCTGTCATTATATCAGTACCACACCTGTCATTATATCAGAGAGTACCACACCTGTCATTATATAAGAGAGTACCACATCTGTCATTATATAAGAGAGTACCACACCTGTCATTATATCAGTACCACACCTGTCATTATATCAGTACCACATCTGTCATTATATCAGTACCACATCTGTCATTATATCAGAGAGTATCACACCTGTCATTATATAAGAGAGTACCACATCTGTCATTATATCAGAGAGTACCACACCTGTCATTATATCAGTACCACACCTGTCATTATATCAGAGAGTACCACACCTGTCATTATATAAGAGAGTACCACATCTGTCATTATATCAGAGAGTACCACACCTGTCATTATATCAGTACCACACCTGTCATTATATCAGAGAGTACCACACCTGTCATTATATAAGAGAGTACCACATCTGTCATTATATCAGAGAGTACCACACCTGTCATTATATCAGTACCACACCTGTCATTATATAAGAGAGTACCACACCTGTCATTATATCAGTACCACACCTGTCATTATATCAGTACCACACCTGTCATTATATCAGTACCACACCTGTTATTATATCAGTACCACACCTGTCATTATATCAGTACCACACCTGTCATTATATAAGAGAGTACCACAACTGTCATTATATAAGAGAGTACCACACCTGTCATTATATCAGTACCACATCTGTCATTATATCAGTACCACATCTGTCATTATATCAGTACCACATCTGTCATTATATCAGAGAGTACCACACCTGTCATTATATCAGTACCACACCTGTCATTATATCAGTACCACACCTGTCATTACATAAGTACCACATCTGTCATTATATCAGTACCACATCTGTCATTATATTAGAGAGTACCACACCTGTCATTATATCAGTACCACACCTGTCATTATATCAGTACCTCACCTGTCATTATATCAGTACCACACCTGTCATTATACCAGAGAGTACCACACCTGTCATTATATCAGTACCACACCTGTCATTATATCAGTACCACACCTGTCATTATATCAGTACCACACCTGTCATTATATCAGTACCACATCTGTCATTATATAAGAGAGTATCACATCTGTCATTATATCAGTACCACACCTGTCATTATATCAGTACCACATCTGTCATTATATCAGTACCACACCTGTCATTATATCAGTACCACATCTGTCATTATATAAGAGAGTATCACATCTGTCATTATATCAGTACCACACCTGTCATTATATCAGTACCACACCTGTCATTATATAAGAGAGTATCACAACTGTAATTATATCAGTACCACATCTGTCATTATACCAGAGAGTATCACACCTGTCATTATATAAGAGAGTATCACACCTGTCATTATATAAGAGAGTACCACACCTGTCATTATATAAGAGAGTATCACACCTGTCATTATATAAGAGAGTATCACGCCTGTCATTATACAAGAGAGTATCACACCTGTCATTATACAAGAGAGTATCACACCTGTCATTATATAAGAGAGTATCACACCTGTCATTATACAAGAGAGTATCACACCTGTCATTATACAAGAGAGTATCACACCTGTCATTATACAATAGAGTATCACACCTGTCATTATATAAGAGAGTATCACACCTGTCATTACACAAGAGAGTATCACACCTGTCATTATATCAGAGAGTATCACACCTGTCATTATATCAGAGAGTATCACACCTATCATTACATCAGATAAAGTCATGACGCTAACATCTAATTACCCGTTTTATTTCATTCCAGATAGGGGTCATCCATAAATGACGTCACACTCGTAGGGGGGAGGGGGGTCCGTAATTTTGTGACGATGTGTGATGAGGGGGAGGGGGGGGGGGGTTCAGATGTTGCGACGTCACACTTTTGCATTATAAAAAAGCAATGTTAGAAAACGAATTTTAGACGTTATTTCGCGTTTTAGATAACTGTTTTAATAAATTGTAATAGTTTAGACAAGATTTTAGAAAAATATCGATGTTTAAAAAAAATTCAACTGCAATTTTGAGGGGGGTTGTAGGTTGAGGTGTGACGTCATTTTAGGGGGGGGGGTCTGACTTTTTGTGACGACGTGTGACGGAGGGGAGGGGGGGGGAGGTAAAAATCGTCAAAAAAGCGTGACGTCATTTATGGATGACCCCATAGACTAATTGAGATTAATTTTCTAAAGTTTTGAATACCTTCTCTCATATCTAACAATATTTCCTATTATATTTTAGGGCTTGAGATGAAATTATGTATAAATGAAGTGGCGTCATGAACACATACTTGAATTTCAGCTTTTTAAGTTGGTTATCAAATTTGTAAAACAAAACAAAACAACAACAACAAAACAACAATAAAACTGCTGCAGAAACGAATGGTATAAAAAAGTGAAGAGAGAATAGCATGGCGACAGCACTCTCGGCCCGGCTAATTTAATCACGTGATAAAAACTGGGTTAGACCCCCAGCACTATTCGACGTCACAGAGCTGTGGGGGGGGGGGGGGGGGGAATGACAGAAGCCAGAACTGTTCTCAGCCAATGCGTAATACGTCACAACGGAATGGCACAGTTTACCTGCAGGTCTACAGCCTCCCCCCCCCCCTCCAT